CGGAACCGGAAAACGCCGTGCAATGCATGGAAGCGATTGTGGAAGTTGCCGAGGTAGGCCTTTTCGTCGTGAAGCCCGTTTTAAAGCTTGGAATGCGTCGTGGTTGGGCGGGTGAATTGTTTTTTTGGCTGAACCTCATTGACGTCGTACATGATGCAAAGGTGGTACTGACTACGGTTCTCACAGGAAATTTTAGTTGTCGGAAACTTGAATGTGATAAAGTGCATAGGAAAGTTACGAGGCTCCCTTATATTTCTCTTTGTTTGTTCAAGCCTGCCCGTGCACTTAGCTTGCGTTCGATTGCGTTTATTGTTCGCTGTTCCTGAGTCTGCTTTGGTTTGTAGCGCGCATGGAGTCCGTAACATTGTCTGTTGCTGTGTATGCACTGACCTTAGGGCGGATCTTATTGGAAATCGGAGCTGAGATCTTATCATCATTACCGTCAAAGTGGATGTTTTGAGGTCCTTCGTTCAATGAATTCTCGTGGATTAGTGACATAACTAACAAAAGGACTAAGGCCGGTGGGTAACTTAATTGTGTCGGCCTGGAGCTGCTAGGCTTTTTGGTTGCACTATGTAATGCGTTCTTCTAGTTCATTGATATAGATATACTTGGATGGCTGTGGATATGATATATCTGGCCAACGGAAGGTATGGCTACAACTCGATAAACTTAGCAAAACTTGATTGACTTCTAGTCCGCCCTCTAGTCGAAGCGCCATTCTTGGCTAGTAGAATTGAGTTGTGGAACTCGATTTCACCGATAGATATACATTTGTGCTATTCACTTTGGCTATGGTGTGTTTGACTTTGTCGCTTAATACTGCCGTAGCATTTGGGTACTTCTAAGCATGCATTGTAATGCGCTTTCGTTGGCAAAGTGGTAATGTCATTTCACTGTAGAATACTACAATTCGCGGACCTACTGAGCCCTACGATGCATCAAACTGCAGCGAGGCGGACGCATTGACTTATGGTGGGTGGCTATCCCCAGAGGGTCTTCAAGCTCTCTCACAGGGCATGCCCATAGGTTCTGGAGGGGGTGGCGGTGTTGGTGGTCCTGGTCCGATGGTGGGTCCAGGCGGTGGAGGGGGTAATCGGTACAGTGGTGGACCACCGCGCGGAGGCGTCCCTCCTCCCCATCCTCCACCACCACCAGCAATGTATCTTGGTCGTCAGCCTCAATTGCAGCAACAGCAACAAATGCAGCAGCGTGGTGTAGGTGGTCCACCGATGTACCAGCAGCCACCACCACCACCGCCACCACCACCACCGTCCCAGTTTGCGCCTCGGGGTCTTCCACCCAGACAACAACAATGGGGCTATCCTGACGGCTATGGTGATGCTGTTTCTGCTGTTGGTAGCGGTGGTTACCCCGGCTATCCTCCTCCTCCACCGCCTCAACAGCAGCAGCAGCAGCCCCAACAGCAGCAAGCGCCACCTATGCCGGTGGCTCCACCGATTCAGCAGTCTGCTGTGCTCGGCGCTGGTGGCGTGGGCGTTGGTGGTTATGACAATGCGGGTCTTTATGCGCAACCTCCACAGGGCGCAGGCTACAATGTACCGCCACCCCAGGTCACTGCTGGGTAAGTGGGATGTGAGCATCGTTTCTTATTTGGTGGAGATTGAGAAAGTGCACGGATTACTCTTCAAATCGCAGGCACGACTCATGTTACCTAAATCGTTTGGCTGTAATAAGAGAAGTTGAATCTTCTCGATTTCGTTACAATCGGGTTTCGTCTCTTCGTCAATCGCTGTAAGTTTAAGGCTCAAAAATGAAAGCGTGAGTTGTTTGGTCGTTATTTAATTTGAGCGTGGTGAAACGATTTAGGGAAGCTGTAACTTCGCTGAACTCTCCTTCCTGATAGCGGTTCGTGCGTAGGTAGTATATTGGGCCAGTAGTGTCTGTTCCTTTCGTCGTAAATATATTAGTTTTTTGTGGTGGA